GCTGAACTGGCCTTCCCAGGCGCCAGAGGTGTTTCTCAGGTGATGTCACCCGGGTTGCTGTATCAACTTGCATGTAAACTATTTGGTTTGTATAGTGGGAAGTGGTTGCCCTTTACTTAGTTTATTATCAGAGCTAAAGGAACTGTTTAACGCAGCATGTTAGCTGAGCTCAGGGACCTGAATGGAGTAGAAACTGTGTTTAAAGTATCAGCTCACAACCAGCAACAGCCCAGGTGCCAAAAAAACAATGGTTACATGTGTGGCTCTTTGCTACTAAGAACACTTCTGCAGATTTGTAGGTTTTTGTTTTGTCCACAAGTGGCACTGACACAGTGACAGCTGAGCTCTGCAGTGTCTTAGTCGACCTCTCCAGGGCTTGTGAGCCAGGCCTTGGGGGTAAGACGGGCTGCTTAATTAACTAACATTAAACAACAACAAAATTCAGTCCTCAGTCTCATGACCACATTTCAGGAGTTCAGGGACCCTGCGTTGGCTCGCAGGCCGGTGTGAGGTGCAGGTGTAGAGCGTTCCCGTCATCACAGGAAGTTCTGTTGGGCATCGCTGGGGCCAGGATGGGTGAGAGGAGGAGCTGGTTGGTGTCCTGCAGGTGCTGGGCCTTCCTTGCCCCCTGATGCCTGATTCATACTCTGCCTCTGCGGCCTGGGTCCTGAGGAAGAGGAGCCCGTCCGCCTCCTGAGGTGCTGGCTCCTGTCAGAGTTGAATCATGTGAGGTTGAATCTCGTGGGTTTTTTTTTGTTTTTTTCCTACCCCAGCAGTTAGTCTCGATAACATGTAGGTGCCGCGTTTACTCTGTTGCAGAGGATACGCGTTACAGGACTTGTGGTTTGTTCCAGGTGACGAGAGCAGATGTGGACGTCCAGCCTTACGCCTTTACCACCAAGTCTCTGTTTGTTGGACACATGGATTACAAGTATCTGCGCTGGCAGGTGAGAACTGTCTAAGCTGGGACAGTCATGGCCTTGTTCCTGGAGTTTGATTCTGGGGATTCCCACAGACTAGTTAGTGTCTGCCCACGTCCCAGTGCGTGCACGTCACAGGGAAGGCTGGGGGGTCACCGGGAACATCCCCATGGACAAGCTCTGCCAAGCTCAGGGGACGTGGCAGCTCCCAGCAATCCTTCTGCGCTTGGCTAATGGTGGTGCTTCTGATGGGCCGGTCATCAGAAACCATTTACAAGCATGACGCAGCCTGTTTCCATAGTTGAATTTAATGTTATGAGAGGTGATGTCATTCCTAGCACGTGGGAGCAGTTATCCCAGTATTTCTGTGTTGTCACTAATGGAAAGAGGGGTCCTTCTCAGGGTCGTTGGCAAGTTCGTTCTTCACTGAGCTCTGCAGCCCCCTCCCCCATTTTTCATACTTAATTTATCCTTTTCTCCTGCTACCTTGTTTGTTTACTGTGGTCAGTTGGGAGCCCTGCATTTTCTTTACCAGTTTCGTCAGAGTTGGTCTGGGTTTGTGAGCGCCCTCGGCCTGTGCTGGGCAAGCAGCTTGTGCAGACGTGGGCTCTGGAGTAACGAGTCTGACCTTAGGTGGTGGATACTCCGGGGATCCTGGACCACCCTCTGGAGGATCGCAACACCATTGAGATGCAAGCCATCACTGCGCTGGCTCACCTGCGAGCCGCGGTTCTCTACGTGATGGATTTGTCTGAGCAGTGTGGGCACGGACTCGGGGAGCAGCTGGAGCTCTTCCAGAACATCAGGCCGCTCTTTGTCAACAAGGTGAGTGTGGGGACCAATGTTTTAGTTTGTAATCTGCAGCGTGAAGGTAATAATTCCGTTATTTTTCTTTCCTATTCTAGCCTCTTATCATTGTAGCAAACAAATGTGATGTGAAGAGAATAGCTGAACTTTCTGAGGACGATCAGGTAAATCACCTTGATGTTTTCAATATTTCCTACTAATTCTGAATCTCGTCTTACACAGTCAGAGTTGAAAAGGAATGTTAGCGATGCTAGTCTGGTTTTTGTTTTGCAGCTGAGATAATATCCTCACTGATTGAGTTGAAGTGACCTTATGAAAGCCCATTAATGGCAAACGGACCATGAGGTTTCCTGGTTCCTACTCTCTCAGAGGCTGTGGGGCTGGCCGTGCATGTGGTCAGTACAGCAGCCTTCAGGAGACTGCTCGTTCGGAAGGGGCTGCCTCTCTCGTTGGGGCCTTAAAACGAGCAAAGCACCTCAAGGTTTGCCTCAGCTCCTTGGGCCTGGGCTGCTGACTGCTCTGGAGCAGCGCCTGCAGCGAAGTGTCTAGTGGGAGGCGTTTCTCGGGTGTTACTGGAATACCTGCTGCACAGATTCTGTGGGGAGATGTTGGGGACTGAGTGAGTGAGGAAAAAGGAGTGTCTGCAGACCTTTCAGAACCGTGACCCTGTCGTGTCTGCTGTAATTTTCCAGGGGGCAGGTAACTTCGTTAGCCCTAGGTTTTCAAGCTGTTTGACCCTGTATCCGTCCCCAGGAGGCATCTCTCAGGACAAATGCTTCACGTAGCTCTGCGCTGGTCCAGTGGTTCTGTCTCGTGGCCCCACCAGCAGTGTTGGCGTTGCTTTTCAGTGGTAATGCGTCGTAAGTCAGGGCACACCCCGGGCCTCCGCAGTCAGACTCTGGGAGGCCCAGCAGCCCGGTTTGCAAGGCCCTGTTTGGTGTGAGAGGCGCTGCCCTTGTCTGGCTTGAGCAGAGGGTCTCTAGGGGGGGCTGTGCTCTTGTCTCTGGCTCTCTCTGGTGCTGTTTGAACACTTAATCCTTGGTGAGAACATGGTGTGTTTAAACAGCCATTCTGGTGTCTCTGGGCACTGCCGTGTACTCTACGTTACTGATGATGTAAACGCTGATGTCACAGAATTCTCTTTTTTTGAAAGGATCAGATACTTATTGGGTGATCTCAGTTTTTCAGGCTAAGAGCGCTGGAGTGTGGAGGGGAGGGCAGGTCAGGAGTGATCGTTGTGCCAGAAGCTCAGCCCTTGGGGTTAGATGCGCCCAAGTCCTGCCCCCACTGCCAGCTGTGATGGAGTTTCAGTGGTGGGAACAGTTGCATCGCTGGGTTGGGAAGCAGGGTTGCGGATGCTGTGAATGCTGATCAGCGCCGCGTGGGGCCTGCCCTGAGTCGGTCGGTGACTCTGATGTCTCTGGAGCTGCATTGCAGGTTTTGCCCCATCTCGCACGAGGCACATAGCGGCAGGTGCGGTGTCTTATGCGGGTCACGCTGGTAGGTGGTATGACTGGTCTTTCCAGGGAGCGGGGGGAGCAGAACTCATTCCTGAGAAGCTTGACTGTCAATTGGCCACCTGTGTCTGAGCGTTGTCGCATGGTCAGGCCGGCAGCAAGGTGTCTTGTGGCGTTGGTGGAGGCGCAAATGAAGTCCTTTGTCCTGGGGTCTTGGTGGTTCATTCGTAGCTGGATTTGTACACGTTGCTGTATCGTCTTCTAAGGAATTATCTTAGGCTGTGGAAGCCAGGTATTTTATAAAAAACAGCATTGAGAATATTCTCTATGAAAATCTGTATCTTAATTTTCTCAAGATTCTCTTCAGAAGGGTAGGTGTCACAGAATGTTCCAGAGAGCCTCTGGTTTGCTTGCTGTAGTCTGATTTGATCCTCCCCGTAATGTATATTTTCTTTTCTTTTTTTAAAAAAAATTAATTTATTTTTGGCTGTGTTGGGTCTTCATTGCTGCGCACGGGCTTTCTCTAGTTGCAGTGAGTCGGGGCTTCTCTTCATTGCAGTGCACAGGCTTCCATTGCGGTGGCTTCTCTTGTTGAGGAGCATGGGCTCAGTAGTTGTGGCACACAGGATCCATAGTTGTGGCTCGTGGGCTCTAGAGCACAGATTCAGTAGTTGTGACCCACGGGCTTAGTTGCTCTGCGGCATGTGGGATCTTCCCGGACCAGGGCTCGAACTCGTGTCCCCTGCATTGGCAGGCAGATTCTTAACCACTGTGCCACCAGGGAAGCCCCTGTATTTTCTTAATCACAGCTGAATTTAGGGAAAAATAAATAACTGTTTTGGGGAGATGTCCTTCAAAAGAATTAAAAAACCGCAGATGTGTTAATTATAATTAGCATTTATAGCACCCATTTGAGAAGTAAGATTTGTTCATGGGGAACTGGGGATAAATGCAGCTCTCATTTGTCCTTTGTATTCCCAGAAAATATTTCTAGATCTGCAGGCTGAAGGGTTTTCCGTGGTGGAGACCAGCACCCTGACGGAGGAAGGGGTTATTAAAGTGAAGACAGAGGTCAGTGCTTCCTCACAAGCAGTGTTGATCCCTTTCCTTGACAGGAATGTTTCTCTCTGATTGTTAACAACCCTGAGCGCTAGGAGCTCCGCCTGAGAGATGAATCCCGGGGCCCCCACCCGCCCAGTGAACATGTGAAGAGATGCTCACACTCCCAGCACAGGTCATTTTCACTTAGTCCTGCTGCCTCAGGGTTCTTCCTTGGGCTGGGCCTGACCCTGACCCGGGAAGGAAGAGAGAGGTCCCCTCTGCACCCGGCCCAACCTCCCCCGTCCCGGAGCGTGAGGTCTGCCCCAGGGCAGTTACTTGGACCTTGGGGGTCCCAGCATTCAGCCATCAGATGCTACCTCCGAGGGAAAAGCGTAGCAGGTTCCAAACCTGGGGACCGTCCACTGGTTATGGGGGCTCTGGTTCCTGATTCCTTCCAGAAGGCAACATGAGGCTGTGCCGGGTGCCCTGTGACCTGGTGCCACGTTTTCTCACCTTAGGCTTGTGACAGGCTTTTGGCTCATCGAGTTGAAACCAAAATGAAAGGAAATAAAGTGAACGAGGTGCTGAACAGACTGCATTTGGCTGTTCCCAGCAGAAGAGATGACAAGGTAAAGCCACCTGTGGAGGCCCTTGAGGCAGGGGGTTGCAATGGCTGGTGGGGACCCTCGCGCCTGCCTCCCTGGTAGTGGATTTCCCGGGTGTTCTCGCATCTTTCTCAGAATGAAAGTTATGCCGTGTATGTCAGGAAGAATCGAAGCGGTGAGAGGAAGAGTATGAAGAGCCAGGTTAAAGCTGCTCCCCCACCAGAGGCTATTACTGTAACTCCCGGCTTGTCTATTTGTGCAGAAACATTTTGGCATATAAGCTTCTTTTAAAATACTTTAAACACGGGAATATATTTTCTTGCAAGTTTTTCATTTTCTTGCTATTAAAAACTAGTGCTCAAGGGTACGTTTTCATACATAAGTCTCTGTTTTTAATTGCAAATATATCTGTAGGCTGAATTTTAAGGCATGGCATCGAAAATGTCATTGTCCTCCAACAATGCCTTGCAGGTTTATACTCCTGAAGGTTTGGGAATGCACGCTTCCTGTTGCATCAGTGTGACGGACTAAAGATGCTTCCATTGTTGTGATGTGTCTCTTTTTTCTTTTTTTTTTTTTTGCTGTGCTGCACAGCTTGCGGGATGTCAGTTCCCCGACCGGCGATTGAAAGGACCATGTCAGTGAAAGCCCAGAATCCTAACCACTAGGCCACCTGGGAATTCCCACTTTTTATTTATTTATTTTAATGTTTCTTATGTATTTATTCATTCACTAATTTTTGGCAGCTAGTCTAGGCATTAACAATACAGCTAAAGGTCACTGTCAGTGACGTTGTTAATGATTTTTATCATATTTGTTCTCAAAAAGTTACACCAGTTTTCAGTTTTTTGCATTACCACACTTTTTTTCCCCAAAATAAAGTGGAAATTACATTATAAGAAGTGATGTTTCTACACTGTAGTTTCAGGCAGTCACACTCAGTGATTATTCAACATGATTGTTTCAGTTAGTGAACATCATGTGGAACAGGATATGTATCTTGTTATTGAAATACGTATTTGCTTTTTCACTTCTTTAGGTTATCTCTTACTGATTTGTAATTTTTATATTAAGGAAGTCAAGCTCTTGTATGTTCTGTAGATTGGTTTTCTTTTTGTCAAAGGTATTTTTTCTTCTGTATTCTGATGGTTCAATTTTTAAAATTTTACCTTTTTTTTTAATAGAAGTCTTCATTTAGTTGTGATTTTATCTTGTTCATGGGAAGCAGGTGGTGGTCTTCACCCAGCTCATCGTTTATCTCAGGACTGATGGCTGGATGATGTGTCTTCCCATCGTATTTCCTTCTGTGCTTGGGCTTATGTCTGAATTTCTTCTGTTCATTGATCTGCTTTATTTCTCCTGTACTGCTTTCTTCATCCATAATTTTTCTTGATTCTCTTACTGATTGTTTTTTCTAAATAAACTTTAGAATCGGCTTTCGGAGCCTTCCCAGATTCCTTGCCCAGACTGGCCTTGCACCTTCCCCTCTCCCCCAGATTATCTTGGTTTTTAGTTGGTCTGGGTGTGGTTTTGTTTCCCTTGCAGATGGAGAATTTGCTTGTAGTTTTTCATCTTTGTGTTTTGATTGAGCAAGGCATTTCATGTAGGTATTTCCACTCATGTCTTCTCAGGAGCGGCCCCCATTCATCCCTGAAGGAGTCGTGGCACGCAGAAAGAGAATGGAGCTGGGGGAGCCGAAGAGGAGGCGGGTAGGTGACGGGAGCGCCCACGGGCTTGCGCTGGAGAGCGTGTGCGGGGCAGGGCTTTGGAGCATAAACCCCCTGGGGCCTGGACACCCTCCTGGGTGGAGGTGCCAGGTCTGCCAGTGGCAGAAACAGCTTTCCCACCAGAAATGGGCGCTGAGCCTCAGGTGCTGAAAGGATTGGCTCTTCGGTTGGAGAAGGGATGATTCCACAGGGAAGGGAGGGGGCCCAGCAGTTCTGGATCTGAAGGTCAAATAGCGCTGATGAAAACTGTGTTTTCATTGCAGGAACGGGACATTGAGCTGGAAATGGGAGATGATTATATTCTGGATCTTCAAAGTAAGGGCTCAAATGTGATAGTTGTTTTCAGATGCCAGTTGTGTGAAAAATGTGAAAGTGCATTAATGGGTGCAAGTCTTCCAGCATTTTGTTAATTTAATTCCTTGAAGGCGAGAGGTTGCATACTGCCAGGACTCTGAGATTTCTTCCTTCCAGGTAGTTTTCTGTGAGTGATCATTTCTGTAGCTTTCCTAGCGTATAAGTGTTGGACCAGGCTGATATTGTTGATAATCTGTTGTTCATGCCTTTGGACACTTGGTCCTGAGGTACTGATGGGTCTTAGGATGTGCTTGGAGCAATCCTTTGGTCGAGCACGTTACCTTGCTTACCTAGTGTTGAACACAAGTTCTCCGTTGTCTTCACAGGTGTAGGATTTGCGTAAGTGGTGGCTCGTTTGGGGCACACAGTAGTTGATGTTAAAAACAACTATAAACTTCTTGTTCTTTGACCTTTAGAGTACTGGGATATAATGAATTCATCTGAGAAACATGATAAGATACCTGAGATCTGGGAAGGCCATAACATAGCCGACTATATTGATCCTGACATCATGCAGGTTTGTGTCGCTAGTTAAATCATGTGACTTTTATTCCTCTTTAACATGACCACCGAAAGACATGCACATAACTTTCCACTCACCTCTGTCCATGGCCCTCGTTCCTTCTACGCCCACCAAGACCCCGGGGGCCCTGCCTCCTGGGGCCCTGCACACGCAGTACCATGTCCCTGCATCGGGTGCTGGTGCAGGCTCTCCCCTTCCTCCTAGACCACCCGCCCGAGCTCCTTGTGCTGGTCTCAGGGGCGGCCTCACTTCACAAGGGAGTCCCCGGGGCGTGGACGCCCTTGTCGCCACCCCACGCGGGCCCCTCTGGCTGCAGTTGCTGCTCGCTCCCCGCCTGACCCCTTGTCTTCCCCAGGTTCTGCCCCGGCACATGCAGCTGCCTCCTGTTTCAGTCCTCTCCTTGTTAGCTGTTTCTTAACATATGAGTGTCCACAGAAAACAAAAACTTCTTAGACCCTGTGTTCTCCTTTAGTTGCTATCCTTTCTCTCCTGAGTCAAGTTTTTTTTTTTTTTTAATGTGTTAAAGTGTACAGTTAAGTAGCATCTAGTACCTTCATGGTGTTGTGCAATCACCACCTCTGTGTAGTTGCAGAACCTTTTTCATCATCCCCAAAGTAACTCCCAGTACTCGATAAGTAATCACTTCCTAGTCTCCCCTCCCCCTAGCTTCAGGCAACCACAAATCTCTTTTCTGTCTCTCTAGATTTGCCTATTTTATATATTTTATATAAATGGAGTCTTACACTATGTTGATCTTATTCCACTTAGCATAATATTTTCAAGGTTCGCCCATGTTGTAGCGTGTGTCAGAGCTTTCATTCCTTTTTATTGCTTAGTGATATTCTGTTGTATATGTGTAGCACATTTTGTTTATCCATTCATCCGTTGATGGACATAGGGTTGTTTCCACCGTTTGGGTATTGTGCTACTATGAACATTGATGGATAAGTATTGAGTGCCTGTTTTCAACACTTTTGGGCAGATTCCTAGGAGTAGAGTTGCTGGGTCATAAGGTAATATTATGTTTCACTTTTTGAGGAACTGCCAGCCAAGCTTTTAAAAAAATAGTTTATAAATATTTGCAACATATGTTCCTTGTTTCCCTTGTTATTCACTCCTCAGTTCTCAAATGGCATCCTTAATTTATATTTCATGTCTTAATCTCTTCAGTTGTGCCTCTTGCTTTGTCTCTTACTCTGTGGCATCCCGTTTCTGTAGTCTGGGCTCAGATGGCCTGACTTGGCCTTCCCGTCCAACCTCCCTCCCTATGCCTTTTCACGCTAGTACTGATGGGGGTACCTCTGACTCGAGTTGCTGTCAAGTTTTATTTGTTATAGGTATTTAAAAATTTTATTAACTGTATGGCCAACGAGGTTGTGTTTGGGACGGCTTTGGGGTGGATACACGGGCTGTCGTCCAAGGCCAGTTCAGATTGATGTTCTCAGTTCAAGAATGGAGGGTCTTTCATGTACCTGCTGGGAGCGAGGGGAACATTTTACACATCTTAACCTCAGAGTTGGGAGTGGTTGTTTCTAAAGAAGGAAAAGAAGTGGCACAGAATAGTCTGTGGCTGTCGGCTTGGTCTTTGTGCTCATCTCTGCACGGAGCCTGTTTGTGGGGAGGTGAGCCCTGGCACAGAGGGCGAGGCCCACATGAGTCTGGACCCGGGTGTTCATCATACCCCGAAAGGCTTAGGGGAAACCTGGTTTCTATAAAGATTGTTACACTTGTTTATGAGTTTTTCATTGTTGGCTTTGTTTAATTATGACTTTTTAAAAAGAAATTGGAAGAGTTAGAAAAAGAAGAAGAGCTAAGAACAGCTGCTGGAGTGTATGACAGTGAATCTGAAACTGAAGATGAAGAAATGGCAGAAATCCAACAGCTGGCAAAACAGATTAGGGAAAAAAAGAAGTTGAAGATTCTGCAGTCCAGAGAGAAGGACACACAGGGACCCAGGATGCCTCGGACAGCCAAGAAGGCAAGTGTCGTGTCGTGTCCGAGCGTCACCTATTTCTTTGTGTATTGGAGTCTTGTATGGTCCATGCTAAACGTGCTTCACTTTGTTTTGTTGGTATAAGTTGACTTTTGAGGTTGAGTGAGTGTTGATCTTTCATATTCTGAGTATTATACCCCTTCTTGGTGACTTTCACTGTTGGATTCAACCCCTTTGTAGCTGTACAAATGAAGATTGTGAGTTATGCATAAATTTGTAGAGGTAAAGTCGTCAATTAACACATTCTTATTCTTTAATTCTTTTTTAGGAGTCATCTTTTACAATTTACAGAAAAGCTAACCCAATCTAACTTAGGGCCAAAGGTGATTTAACTGGGCCCTGTGACTGGTTAGGACGGGGAAGTTCACACTGAGGCACAGGTGGATCAAATGGTGTCAGGGTCCTTCCAGTTCTCAGGTCCGTCTTCTTAGCATCTTCCTCCTGCTCCGTGCTCTTGTCCAGAGGCACAGCTCCCCAGGGAAAGATGATTGTGTCCAGGGCAGTTAGAGTGAGAGGGGACAGGAGGGGAAAGAGGATTGTGTGCAGGGCAGTTAGAGTGAGATGGGACAGGAGGGAAAATGTCGGATGCTGGGCACCTCTCCATGGAGGATATTCATGTGTTCGAAATACTGTTTCTGTGTGGTGGCAAATGACTGTCTCTTGACAGATGTGGCCATCGCTGTATCCCCGCATCGTGGGGCTCCGTGTGCTTGGGTGGAGATGCTGGCCTCTGGGGTCTGCATGTGGGAATCCCTGGGGAGCTGAGCGGAATCCAGGGGCAACATGTATGTCGTCCCGCTCAGAAAAATCGCCCAGGAAATGTTAATTTTCATGTTATTTAATGAGTTGTACAAAAACATACACATGAGCCCAAGTAAAAGAATTTCTAAAATAAGTGTATCATGGATCATTGTAAAAGGTACGGTTTCCCTTGAAAATTTTTTTAAACATTTTATCAAACTAATTTTGCTTAAAACAATGTCCGTTTCCGTCTTCAGGTTCAGCGGAAGGTTTTGGAGGATGAGATGCGCAGTCTTGGTGTTGACATGGACAACAAAGACAACGTGAGTGCAGCCGACCTCAGAGCCATGGGTGGGGCGGCGCTGTCCTGGGAACCAGGGCAGGAGCGGGTTACAGAGGAGTTAGCACTTCCGGGGTTTGTGCTGAGAATTATGTTGTTTTGTGCAGTTTTTAGTACTTGAGCTGCAACTCTGATTTTGGTGACTGATGTCTTCACATAGAGCTTCAGTTTAGACACCAGGTAAACGTGAGGTGGTCTGGAGTTTCTTGGCGTGAGAGTTACATAGGCTGTAAATAGCTCAAAGCTGTTCCTCGGAGCCCAGAGGTTAGAAGGCATTTCAGATACCTTTTTCAGGATCCCAGTTTTTCTTGCTTGATGAATTACTCTGGATAATGCACATCTTTGTGTGAAAGAATGTCTTCATGTTCTGGATTGTTTTCTCAAAACAGATTCCAAGAAGTGGAATTACCGAAACAAAGGATGACATTGTGTTAGACTAATTCAGATTTTGATCAGCAGTGCATGAGCGTATCCTGCTCACATGGGGTGTTATTTTCATGTTCACATGTGGCTTCTGACTTTGGATTGTTTATCAGGTGCTGGGCTCTAGGGTGCCTGCTTCTCTCATCATTGTGTCTTCTTATTTCAAAACAGTAACATGAGGGGGTGCCACGGGCCGGGTGCCAAGCTGCTGGCTTGCAGAGCTGGATCTCAGCACCCACAAGCCTGAGCTTTCAGGTGGCTGTCACTGTGTTCAGGCGGATGATCCTGGAAGGGGGGCGTGAAGGAGAGACAGCTCTTTATATAAACTGTGCTGCTAATGTGGCTGAACAGGCAGCTCTAAGTAAAGTTTTTTAAATGGAGTTAAAATCAGCTCTGTAACTTAAAGCAGCTGTGGAAGTGAAAAAGTATTTGGGACTTCCCTGGTGGCGCAGTGGTTAAGAATCCACCTGCCAATGCAGGGGACACAGGTTCGAGCCCTGGTCCGGGAAGATCCCACATGCTGCAGAGCAACTAAGCCCGTGCGCCGCAACTACTGAGCCTGTGCTCTAGAGCCCGCATGCCATAACTACTGACCCTGCGTGCCACAACTACTGAAGCCCACGTGCCCAGAGCCCATGCTCCGCAACAAGAGAAGCCACCGTAATGAAAAGCCCGTGCACCACAACGAAGAGTAGCCCCCGCTCACGGCAACTAAAGAAAGCCCGTGTGCAGCAACAAAGACCCAATGCAATCAAAAAAAAAAAAAAAAGTGTTTGACCAATAATTAATGTGAAATTAACTATGTGTATTTTAAGTGTATTTAACTTAAATTTGATGGTGGTTCTAAAAACCCGTCCATGTGCCTTCTCCCCTCGTTGTAATAATTTCATGTTTGTCACTAAGGCTGGGACCCTGAGGCACTGAAGTTTGTTTTCTGTGTGTTTCAGGCCCATTATGTGGTCCAGGCCAGAAGGGCTCGGAGCGTCACAAGGAAAAGGAAGCGGGAAGACTCTGTCCCACCCACGTCTGTGGCCCGGATTCGCAGTTGCTCTCGGACCCCACGTGATGTCTCTGGTCTCCGGGACGTCAAGGTTAGTCCTTGTAAGGGGAAATTAATAAAATGGTAGCTTCTGTTGTTGATCGCATGAGGGCTCAGGGCACACACTTGAATCTGCAAGAACTGCAGGGTGGGGATGGGGGAGTGGGTGTTGGCTGTGTGCTGTACCCCAAGAGGTGGGCTTGGGCCTGGCACAGCCGGGTGTCCCTGGACCTTTGCCCTCAGTGCATGTGTTCCTTGTTGGGGTGGACAGAGCAGGGTGTGGTAATAGCACCACGGCCTGAGCCTCTGTCCTAGCCGCTCAGGGCTGTGCTAGGAAGAGGTCCTGCTCAGAACCTGGACATGGGGCCTTCACCCACCACAGGCCCATGTGGGGAGCCAGCCCATAGAGAGCTGTTTGGGAGTCTTTTGGGAAAGACACTTTGGATATATACTGTCTCTTTTGCTGAAACTTCTTTTTTTTAAATAAACACAAAAATGATTAGTTTTAGCATTTTGAAAATTCAGATGAGAAAGTTTGTGTATAAACTTACAAGCAGCCTCCCTTTTGGGAGCCCGAGTTTTCCATTCCACCACGCCGCCTCCATCTGGTAGTCTGGATTTAACACCAGCATTGACACTTGTCAGTCAGATGGGAGTAGTTTCATGGGCCGGAATCTCAGTGTCCCCGTGTGTCTGAGAGGAAGTCCAGGTCTGAGCGTATCTGGTCCCTGTAGGTACGAGACTTGTCTGGGTAGTTTCCATCTTGCAGATACTGGTTGAGCTCCTGCAGGTACTGTGGTGGATCCACGGGAACATGGTGTGAGTGAGACTCACCAGGGTTTCTCTTCACAGCACAGACCCGGACCGTTCAGACTGTGTTAACAGGTAATGGAAATTTGCTTGGAAATTAGGTTTTCCACAGCTGATGTGTTTTTCTTCTCCTTTATAGATGGTGAAGAAAGCCAAGACCATGATGAAGAATGCTCAGAAGAAGATGAATCGCTTGGGGAGGAAAGGGGAGGCAGACAGACATGTGTTTGACATGAAACCCAAGCACCTGCTCTCGGGAAAGAGGAAAGCTGGTAAAAAGGACAGGAGATAGTGTGTATCGCAGCTGAAGCACTTTGGCTCGACTTCTTCCTGGTTTGGTTTCACAGAATTGGGAGTCGTGATCTGTAAACTGAACGTGACAATGGAATAACTCAACACTTGTTGCTTTGCTGAAAGCTGTGGTTACCCGATAACTGTCCAGGTGTGGGGGATTTTTTATCACTGCATAATATTACAGATACTTTGAGCAGGCAGTGGTTTCTCATTTATGGAGTTTTGGTTACTTGAGACTTGCAACCAAAGGATATATTTATGTGACAACATTGTTTTTGATGGAGAAAAATCTTACTCTCTTGTGCAACAGGGAACTTTGGTTTCACTGCATGTGAAGAGTCCTTAGCTGGTGAAAGCTTACAGATGTCAGGATGCCAGTTATGTTATCTTCTAGTCCTTTTGTACAATGTACTGTCTTCAACTATTTTATCCAAAATAAACTTCCAAAAGAAAGCAGTTTTATTTAGTTGGTTTTGTTTTTGTTTTTTAGTTACAAATCACTGTCAGTTTGGGCAGATGAAAAGGGAAGAGAAAGTAAATGGCAATTCTTTTTTGTTTTCAAAGCGCAAAATACTTTTTAGTGGAACAGAATGTTGCCTAAGTTACTACAGCAGTTAAATGTGGGCACCTGCTGCTTGTGTCCACTGCTGAAAATTAAATTGTGAGGTACAGGCCCAGTAAAATGTAGGAAATTAACATTTTAGAATATTAAGTGCTTAAAACGTCACTTCTTGACCACAAAACTGCCGTGGCCACTGCTTTATGTGCGGTTTCAAGCATCCCCTCTGCTGACTCGCGGCATTTCTAAGTGCACCTGTGTGGGGGTCTTCCAGTGTCATGCAGTGTGATTCAAGGTGTGTTTGAAAGTTGCATTTACATTTTGGGGATCCAAAGTAAAATTTTCATTTGTTTATGCTGAGAAAGATTATGTAAAGAGAAACCCATTGAGTGTCAGGTGAGAGGGAGTAGGAAGCAGCAGAGTCCTTCTCCTCCTAGGTTATAGTGGCTCTGGCAGAATCTCTGCTGTAACTATTGAATATTTGGGACTCCAGAGTCTTTAAAGGCTCACCTCTTCCAGGGAAAGGCTCCACGGTAAACCAGTTTGTCAGTTTTAGCCCCTGTGGCTTAGCAACTGCCTGACCTCTCACCCCAAACCCTGTGGCAGTCACTGTACCTGCGTTTCTGGAGGTGCTTGTGGGATTCAGATTGGGCCCTAAGGGCCTTGTTCTCCAAATATTAGGATTTTGTTTTGATTGACAGTTGCTGCTTCTGATGGCAGAGGTGTAGACAGAGATGGATCCCCATCAGCTGAATTTGAAGGGTCAGTGCCTGTTTCTTTTTCCCTTGCATTTTTCCTTTTTACCCCTTTGGAGAGCTAGAGATGTGAGGATTAGGACTTAAGAAAGCACTGCTGACTTAGGGGAATTTAGAAAGTCAGCATGTCTGTGTCCAGGGAAAGACACACAGTCGGAAAGGAAGTGAGAGACATGAAGACCTCGGGTGGTAGATACCCAACAACTAAAAACTCACATATAAAGAAATAGGAAAGTGGTCTGTTAAAGGAAAAAACTGAGAAACTGTCCCTCAGGAAGACATGACAGACTTGACACTGCCTTAAAGATGCTCAAGGAGCTAAAGGAAGACGTGGACAAAGTCAGAAAAAACAATGAACAAACCAGGAATACCAATAAAGAGAATAAAGTTTTATAGATGGCTCCCTCTGCTCTGTACCTGTTGTCAATGGTTTGTCCAGCATCTAACAGTCTAAGACGCCACGGCCCATATGGCAACCACTAGCCACTGTAGCTACCCAGTTAACTGGTTACATGTGTCTTAGCCTAAAAGTTCCTACTAAAGAACTAGAAACAATATAAAAATGCATTTTGAAACTCTGTCATTTATCACTTAAGCTACCATAGGCAGGTTGACCTATTACTGTATTGAAGTTTTAACAAACTAGACAACAGTATCAAAATGTGGTAATTTAGTTTTGTTTTTATTTTTCAATAAAGTTACTATTAGCTACACAGTCTTGCCTGAAATTAATTGTTCAGGGTTAACAAATGGATTTTTCTATTGAATTTATAAAACATTTAGCTTTGTAAGAAACAAATTTTTATCTTTTTCTTCATTACTTACTAATACACAGCATTCAAAGATAATAAAGCTGTCTTAAGATTTCAAATCTGAGAAGTCTATGGCAAGTTTAAAGAAGTACATTAGTCAAAGTGTACTTTAAATATTAATACACACATATTCCATAACCCAAATTATTTAATATGAACGTTAGCCTTTCTTTTTGATAATTTTCCCCCTACAACACAGCCTGACTCAGCAGAACAGTGGTTCTCAACTGTGGGTGATGCTGTTCTTGAGGAGACATTTGACATCTGGTGTCATGGGCTGTCATGGGGGGAGGGGTGCCAACAGCATTTTTTTATGTAGAACCTGGGGATGCTGCTAAATCCTACAACACAAAGGATGAGCCCCCAAAAGAATTATCCAACCCAAACATCAGCAGTGCCAAGGTTAGAATACCCTGTTGTAGAGTATGACCCAACTGACCCAAGTTCCATTTTACAAATAGCCTGTCTGTTCCCAGTAACTCTGAAAACCAGGCTTTGCTAATCAGCAATGATTATTTAAATGAATTAACCTAGCCAATGTCATGACCAAAAACAATGTTTGACTTTAAGTATCAAAATACTTCAGAATGATTAAAACAAAATTAACAATGACAGAAATCAGGATATATACCACTGAATTCCCTTGAACCTGTTCTATATTAATCTCAATCTGAAAAGTTAACTTGAACTGTTTTGAAGTAGATAAGCAAATAGTTTCCATTGCACATTCTTCTGGACTATGATAAAAATTTAAAGATACATCAAGCACCTGGCAAACAGCAAAGTGCTCTACAAGTCTTCTGAAAATGTTTATCACAATATATAAAAAAAAATGAAGAACTTCACTTATTCAAATTTGTCATAACCATCTGTTTAGATAGGTTAAGTTTATTTGCTCTTTTTTATAATAATCTCATAAATATTTTTTACAAATTGCAGTTAACATATATGGGTTGTATGACACAAATCAAGAATTCTTTTCCACACGAATTCTGGTTGTAAAGTATCAATATTTCCAATGAGAGTTCTAACGGGGAACCAGGTTTTTAAAAAATTCATCTTAAGTTTACTAAGTAGAGAAATTCTTTAGTACTTAGTAATCATTCATCACCACATCTACATTCTGTGTATTTTCTCATGGTCAACAAACTGATTCAAATGATTTAAGTTATCCCACCACCTAAAGAGAAAAGTCTCTGCAATAATTTGAAACCACGGAGTTATCTTAATTTCACCGTGGGCTGCTTTTTCCAGAAGTTCTTCTAGTTCTTCCTTTGATACGTAACAATAGCTTTTAATCTCATTGGGATCTGGATTCAAGGTCACATTCTTCTTCACAAACAAAATGTAATCAATTTCATGTTCTCCCCAGATACCATCAGATTGAGCCTTGTAATGAATTCGTGTTAGATAATTAATTTCTTCTGGAGGAACCTAGGACAAAAACCCAAAAACCTCCAAAATATCAATAAAGTAATCTAAATCAACCCACTACATTTCAGTAATACCTTGAACAACAGAACTAGTTTTAGAATGACAACTTTTGAAACATTAGTGTCCTATTAATATATGGAAATAGTATTAAATAATATTAAATAGTTTCAAGTGTCTGACACTTTTCCCATAGGACCAAAAATAGAAGTAGATTTAAAGAAAAAAAGAAAAGCAGTTACTAACTAGAAGTGTGCCATTCTGCCTCACATATTAACTTACGAGAGAAAAAAATTTACCATTTTAACTAAATGAGAGATTATTTATTCGTGTATTATTAAAAGGAGACAATTCCAGGGAAAAAAAGATTATTTCAATTCACCCAATCAGATCTGAGGTTCACAAGAAAATATTCATCTTTGATCTGATCAATTATAAAACACAGTCAACTATAAACTGGTTAAAAGATCAATCCATTTTGGTACTGAGTTAAATATCGACAAGTATTACGAAATCAAAATTTAACCTTTATCCAATGGGCTTTCTTGGCCTAAAAAAGCAAGAGATTACAAAGCAGAAAGCTACACCTAAATTTAATGTTTTACTAAAAACTGTTTCAATGTATTCTAGATTTCAGCTAGCATGGCTGCTTACCTCTTCCATGGGAATTCCCAATTCAGCCTTTAAACGCCTCTGTGCTGCTCGCCTTACTCCAATTGCATTGTTTTCTTCAAGCTCTCGTGGATTATTTAAGGGATGACTACAGCAAGTATTAGTAAAACAACCTGGAACATGTTAATATAGATGTACATTAACTTTTCTTCAAAGCAGGTCTGAAAGGTTAAGAAAACTTTAAATTTTAAAAGTAACAGAAAAAATGATTGTTGAGGATTTCTAAATCTGTTATAATGAGCTATCAGCAACCATTTTGTGACACTTGGGTAGATAAGTTTTTATGAACACCTTCTTAACCAAAGCGAGCATAACGTGTATTAGATAAAATTTAGAAAGTTATATATGAATCTACACATACCTAGCAGTTTTTATCCTTTATTAGGATAAACCTTACGTCTTATTAGGTTGCAACCGCCGTATAAGTTTTTTGTATGAAGAATATAAAACTAAGTCATTCACAAGATTTCTTTTTTGGCCTTGGCTACCAGAAGTTCCACGTGACAAAATCAAACTAAATACAATCGCCAACAAAACACTACACAAAGCACACTAACCTGGAAAGGTAATTTTAGCGTCTGATCTCTGCTGCAGCAGGAGCTTATTTTCAGTGTTGAATAAGAAAACACTAAAAGCTCGATGCAATAATCCTGAAAGCAAAAGAAATACGATGAATTTAGTTTTAAGAGGCCAGTTACTTGCCTGTCGCTTTGGGGTCCGAAGGAAGCGGGGCTGCCGCCCGGGGACCCGGCCCGCCCGCCGCCCCCGCGAGCACCTCTCTCGATGTTCTCGTTCAGATGGCAGTTCTTCTTGGTCTCCGCCCCGATCCTCCGGTCGTTCTCGTCGATGAGTATGCACATCTCCGCCAAGAGCTGCACCTGCCGCTCGTCCAGCTCGTCAGTGCTCACCTCGGGCATCGCGGCCCAGCCTACGCGCAGACCCGGGGACCTGGCGCGGGTGGTGGGGACCCGGGGGTTGGAGGCTGAGCCCGCCGCCCCCCCCCCCCCCCCCCCCCCCCCCCCCCCCCCCCCCCCCCCCCCCCCCCCCCCCCCCCCGGCC